ATTAGTAGCATCAGCTGATTAATTAGTAGCATCAGCTGATTAATTAGTAGCATCAGCTTGTCAGTCTGTCAGTTACTTTAGCAACACAGCTTAGAACAAGCTAAATATGAAGAGCAGTACATGAAGCAGCCTGTTCAGGTGTAGACTTTATGTTGTCCCTCACGGTCGAGTGAAGAGCGACAATCACAACTAACTCCTTCATCCGTGTGTTTGTGTTTGAGCAAGAACTTGAACAACTGGCATCAACTTCTATTCTGTAGTGTGGCTGCATCTGCCTGGAAGAAAGGTCACGTTCAAATACTGGACATCCAAGTCCAAGATGGTCACCACATGCACACACACACACACACACACACACACACACACACAGTGGTGCTTGAATGTTTGTGAACTCTTTATAATTTTCCATATTTCTGCATAAATATGACCTAAGGGATGGAGTGGTGGTACAGAGGTTATTGAAGGTGGGCCTGTGATCGGAAGATCGCTGGTTCAACTCCCAGTGCTGACGCCATTAAAATGTGTGTGTGAAAGGTGAAGCACCCTTACTTGCCTCCACCCTCATCTGCTCCACTCTGGGCCCTTGAGCAAGGCCCCTAACCCCCCAGCTGCTCCCCCAGGCGCCCTGATGGCAGCTCTCTGCTCCACACAGAGGCTGTGGTAGCTCGGTGGTCTGTGGTTGTCAGGAAGGACATTCTGCATAAAAACAATCACCAAGTCTTCGTGTGACTCATTTTGCTGTGGTGACCCCTGAAGGAGGAGCAGCTGAAAGAATTTTTTTTTTTTTTTAACAAAACTTTACTTACACAATAATTTAACACAACGGTGTTAAACAAATGTGATCAGAACAAGCTTCAAATCAAATCTTTACACGAGGAGCTTGTTGTAATGTAGTGAACTGATCATAAAACCTTGTTAAACCCCCACAGTTTCACAGAGTTCTCCAGGTGTCCAGTGTCTCTGTGGAAGCAAAGCTCCAACTCCAGTCTGGCCTTGACGCTGCACCTCCACAGAGCCACGGCATCAAGTCGACGTCCAGCCTGCGGTCTGTCCCTGCGACACAAGCAAACAGACATTTTTGCTTCGGCCACTAAAAAGTTTAAAGTTTGGGATTTAAACTTTGTGTCTTTGCAGTGATGTACTCTATTAATAAAAACAGATTTGGTGAAAACTGTGTCAAAAAGGCTAAAGATCCTCATCATTAGATTAAACGAAGCCGTCAGTCGTGCTCAAGCTGTAAAAACATGAAAAACACTCTCAGACAAACTGCAAAAAGAACACGCGTTTAAAACATCAGGACTGATGACCGATAAAAAAAAAGAGTTTGTTGTGGCACCGTGAAGGATCCTCCACTGAAGATCACCAGTCTGTTTTTTTCTTGGTTTGTAAAGAGTCCTCCACTGGGGCTTCTGACCTCCGAGCTGGTCGTCCCACACGCTGACAGCTCTGTTGTGCAGAGTTCTCTTGTTCAGGATCTTAACATAAGTCTTATAAAGTACTTTTGGACCCATTCTGCACAAGTCCATCTTTGGGTCTGTGTTGCGTAGCAGAGGACCACTACTGTCCGTGAAGTCAGGATCCAGGTGGATGTCCAGGAAAGGGTCTGGTGGGTCAGGCAGGCGATTCCCTGTGGACCACAGCTGCAGGAGACACTTCTCTCCAGCTGTCATCCTCTCCTTCACCAGGTCCAGGAAGTGCTGGAGAGTTCTGGTCCGGCCGTCTCCTCCAACCGCCTCAGGGTCACCGTCCCAGATCCGCCCAGTGCCCCTGGCAGACCCGGCACCGTGCTATCAGAGACGTCCATTCTCGCTTCACAGACTAGAGGTTCCTCTAAGAGCCTCTGCAGAGAATTATACGTTCTTGATCAGTTTGGTTTAAAAAACAACCACTCTGATAAAACTGAGACATGAAGTTTAACAGGTCAACACTGGTTAGAAACAGAGCAGCATCCAGACCCAACCCACTCACAAGTCTGGCCACGTCCCTCCACAGTGTCAGGAGGTCCTGCCAGGTACTTCTGGAGGAACTGTGTTTGAAAAGTGGCCGTTCTGCTGGCCAGGTGGACATGGTCCTGTCCCCCCTCTGTCGGTAAGAACAGGACCAACTGTGGCGCCCAGTGTCGACCGTTCCAAAAGCACTCCACCATCTCAGACTGTATTTTACTAACAGGCCTGGAGGTGGGTCTACAACACAAAGTTTGGTTGTTTCAAACCAGTACTCTGCCTCTGTGGGACATGCGAGTGCAGCCCAGGGTTTCTCGGAGCGCCACAGTAAATTCAGGCCGCCGCACCTTCAGAATAAAGGTTTATATAGAATTGAAATAAATGTAAATATCTTGAAACGTTACAATTTACTTTATTTTGAAAAGCCAACAGTGCCGGCTCGTGCGCTCTGAGTTCTTCACCTGTTCTCTCGCTCTACTTTGGACTGTCGACTCGTGTCTGGTTTCACAAAGAGTTTTTACTTCAAGCCTGTGACTCGGTTACTGCACACGAGGCTTTTCAGCAAAATCCCCCCTTTTCAAACTAAAATGTCATTTACATGAATCGTCCAGATCTGAAGAGGGTTTTTTTGGGGGTGGGTGGGGGGGTCAGAGGCGCAGTGGATGACATCATCTCCCTTTAAGAAACCGCTTCCTCAGGTGCTCATCTCTTCGGGGGGTTTTGTTGTCAGGGCGGGGGGAGGAGGGGAGACGCCTCCATGTTGCGCATTAGCTTACAGCTACGTTAGCTTACAGCTACTCAGTAACCACCAACATTCACTGTTCAAATTCCCCGGCGATGGGGGACATGGGTTTACTACTTGATCTTATTAAATTTTACATTTATTGTCAACACTCGTAATTCAACAAAAAGTGGCCTTGATCTTAAATCTAATTTTAATAAAACAAAACATAATTGATTTTCTTCTTTTAAACAGATTGTCATGTTTTCTAAATCGGAGCAGTTCGTGCTCAGAGCAGGAGTTCGGGCTGATGCTCAAACACTACCACACTAGCGTTTAGCTTCATGTCTGTGAAATCAGCCGAGTTACAGCCGTGTATGTGTTGCCTAAGTTTATTTAGCTGTGGTGACCATCTATACTGGGCTTGACTCCAAAAGTCAGTTACAGTAGCCCCTCGCTTATCACGGGGGTTACGTTCCAGACACCCCCGCGATAGGTAAAAATCCACGAAGTAGGGACGTTACATTTATTTTAGTATTTATATATATTTTAAGGATTTAGAAACCCTTCCTACACTCTTGCAATGATCTTAACAATGTTCTAAACTGTCTAAAAGAGCACACAGACTGATGCTGCGGTTAATGAGCCAATCGGCGCCCAGGATGCAGAACACGACGCTCTGGTTGGTCGACTTCCATCAATCAGCCAATCATGCCGTGTATACAATCTTATGTTGAAAACCTGCAAAACACTGAGTTTGTGAAAGTCGAACCGTGAAGAACTGAGGGACTGCTGTATTTGTAGATGCACAGTCAGTGATTACGTTCTGAAAGTTTACCGTAGGTCCATACAGTGGTTCACTACTTATTTTGCTAACAGACGGAGATACAAGCACAATCCTACCTTCTTGCCATTGATGGAGGGTGATATTGGTGTGTGACTGCATCATGGTGTGTGTTTTGTACAGATGATCCTAAGAGACCTGCACCCTGGAGAGGAGAACCACAACATTGATGCTGTGGTGACCATGAAAAGGTATCGGTCCAGTCTGATCCCTGAATTGACGAGCCGTGTGTGAGTGGTCGTGTCTGACTCTGTCTGAATGTTTCAGGGACGGCTCTCTCCATGTTTCCTGTGCAGCTCAGAGCAGTGGACAGTCCGAGGCCATCACCATAGCAGCAGCTTCATGAGGAACCAGTCCTTTTACTGGATGTGTTTTCTGTTTCCACCAGTTTTCTGAAGCCACCTAACCTTGTCTAAAGTCATGAAGGGACGATGTCTGTTTCTAGCAGTCGACATAAACAATTAAATGTTTTCTAAAAGGTGTATTTTTTATTTTTCTACCTTTTATCAGTATGAGATACAAAAGAAATACTAACTGCTGCCTTTCGTGCCACAGTTTTAGACTGTTATCTTAAGAGGAGGGAGTGATGGAGCTGGTTGGAGAAAACGAGAAGTCAAATCCCTGGACCATAGCAACAATAATCTGTATGTGAAAGATAAAGTGCCCACACCTGCATCCACCCTCATTTGCCCTACTATATGAGCAAGGCACACAACTCCCCAGATGCTCCGCGGGCGCCCTGGATGGCAGGATGAGTATTCGGAGTAAAAATAATTTCCCTCTATGGCGGCGGAAAGAGGCGTTTAGCACAGGCTCCCACCAGCACTGCTTGAAAAGTGTCTTCTGAAAACATCTTAAAGGTTTAAAAAAGTTAAATCTGGTCCTCTGGACATTCAAAAAAAAAAAAAAAAAAAATGTAGAAACGTTTCGTCTCTCATCCTGAGGACTTCCTCAGTCTGAGGTGCTGTATTCAGCTCAGTCTCTTAAATAGCACCTTCTCTGAGTGGATCAACCAGTTTGCTGCTGACAACCAAAACCAGCTGATCACATGCTCAAGAAGGACCATCAGTCTAACAATGGATCATTAGCACCTGATGGCTGTTTACTACTCACAGAGGGCTGAGTGATACTAGCAATCACAGCATTGTAAGAGGGGGACACTTGAACCTGGAGGCTCCACCCCTGTTTAATGATGGACGGTTTCTTTTCACAAAGATGGCCTCCTTTACTCCTCTCTCAAACCATCGTTCCTCTCTGTCCAGGATGTGAACATCTTCATCCCTGAAAGAGTGACCGCTGACCTGAAGATGAGTGTAGACCTCAGAGTCCTGGCCTGATGATGTTGATCTTCTGTGCTGGTCCATCCTTTTGGCCAGTGGCTGTTTAGTTTCCCCGATGTAAGACTGATCACCCTCCTGACACTGAACAACATACACAACATTACTCTGTTTGTGCCGGGGGACTGGATCTTTGGGATGAACCAGTCTTTAATGTATTTTGGGGTTTAAAAGCCACTGGGACGTTATGTTTAGAAAATAAACGTCTCAGTTTCTCTGATACTCCCTCAACATACGGAATGACCACTGGTCTGGGTTCCTCCTTTTCACCTGTTGGCTGACTGGAGTCCTGTTTGGGTTTCTTCTTTCAGGAAGGCCCAGTTAGGATAACCACATTGCTCTAGAGCCTGTCTTGTGTAGGATTTCTCCTTCTGCCTGGCTCCTGAGCTAGTGGGGATGCTGTCTGCTCTGTGGTACAGAGTCCTGATGACTCCTAACTTGTGCTCCAAAGGGTGATGGGAGTCAAACTGCAAATACTGGTCTGTGTGGGTGGGTTTGTGGTACACCTCGGTTTGCAAATGTCCTCTATCAGAGACTGAGACCTCACAGTCCAAGAAAGCCAACTTGCCATTTTTTTCATCTTCTTGTGTGAACTTGATGTATTTATCCACAGAGTTGATGTGGTCAGTAAAATGTTGGACTTCCTGAGATTTAATTTTAACCCAGGTGTCGTCAACATACCTGAACCAATGACTTGGTGGTGTCCCTGAAAAGGACGTCAAGGCTCTCTTTTCTACCTCCTCCATGTACAGGTTGGCAACAATAGGAGAAACTGGAGACCCCATAGCACACCCATGTTTCTGCCTATAATATTGCTCCCCATATGTGAAGTAGGTTGACTGCAGGCACAGTTTCAAGAGTTGACACAGTTGTTCTGTGGAAAGCGTGGTCCTGCTGCTCAGAGTGGTGTCTGATTTTAAT